TTCATACCTCCCTTGTGTGCTCTTGCCTTATCATGTGACCAAAGTCCAGTCACCTTGCTGTATTTGCCCTTTTCTAAAGTCTACATATGAGGGAGAACATACCATTATTTGTCTTCTGAGCCTGGCTAACCTCGTTTGGGATGATGTTCTCCAGTTCTATCCATTTACTTGCAAATAATAAGATTTCATTCTTCATGGATTGAGTAAAATTCCATTGTGTATAGATACCACATTTTCTTAATCCATTCATCAGTAGTGGGGCATCTTGGCTGTTTCCATAACTTGGCTATTGTGAATAGCGCTGCAATAAACATGGGTGTGCAAGTGCCTCTGGTGTAACCTGTGTCACATTCCTTTGGGTATATCCCCAGGAGTGGGATTGCTGTATCATATGGCAGATCTATGTTTAGATTTTTAAGAAGCCTCCAAATTTTTTTCCAGAGCGGTTGTACTAGTTTGCATTCCCACCAGCAGTGTACAAGGGTTCCTTTTTCCCCACATCCTCACCAACACTTGATGGTGGTAGTGTTTTTGATGATGGCTATTCTAACAGGGGTGAGGTGGAATCTTTGGTTTTGATTTGCATTTCCTTTATGGCTAGAGGTGGTGAGTATTTTTTCATGTGTGTTTTTGGCCATTTGAATTTCTTCTTTTGAGAAAGTTCTGTTTAGTTCAGTTGCCCATTTCTTTATTGGTCATTAATTTGGGGAGAGTTTAGTTTTTTGAGTTCCCTATATATTCTGGCTATCAGTCCTTTGTCTGATGTATAGCTGGCAAATATTTTCTCCTACTCTGTGGGTGCGCTCTTCAGTTTAGAGATCATTTCTTTTGTTGTGCAGAAGCTTTTTAGTTTTATGAAGTTCCATTTGTCTATACTTTCTCTTAGTTGCTGAGCTGCCGGGGTTCTATTGAGGAAGTCCTTGCCATACCTTTTACTTCCAAAGTATTTCCTGCTCTTTCCTGTACCAACTTTAGAGTTTGGGGTCTGATATTAAGGTCCTGATCCATGTTGAGTTGATACTAATACAGGGTGGTAAACATGGATCTAGTTTCAGTTTTTTGCAGATAGTTAACCACTTTTCCCAACAACTTTTGTTGAAGAGGCTGTCTTTTCTCCATCATATATTTTTAGTGCCTTTGTCAAAAATAAGGTGGGTGTAGTTGTGTGTATTCATATCTGGGTCCACTGTTCTGTTCCACTGGTCTTCATGTCGTTTTTGTGCCAGTACCATGCTGTTTTTGTTGCTATTGCTTTGTAATATAGTTTGAAGTCGGGTATTGTGATACCTCCAGCATTGTTCTTTTCGCTGAGTATTGCCTTGGCTATTCACGGTCTCTTGTGTTTCCAAATGATTTTTAGGGTAGAGTTTCTAATCTCTTTGATGAATCTCATTGGGATTTTGATGGGAATTGCATTAAACATGTAGATTGCTTTTGGTAGTATAGCCATTTTTACTATGTTGATTCTACCAATCCATGAGCATGGGAGATTCTCTCCACCTTCTGTAGTCTTCCTCAGTCTCTTTCTTCAGAGGTTTGTAGTTCTCCTTGTAGAGGTCATTCACATCCTTTGTTAAGTTTACTCCTAGGTATTTGATTTTTTTGAGGCTAGTGTAAATGGAATTGTTTTCATATATTCTTTCTCAGTTTGTTCGTTATTATTGTATAGAAAAGTTTATTTATTTATTTATTTATTTGCTTATCATCTGCATTACAGGATTATCTGGCCACTACCCACTAAGTGATAATACCATTTCTCTGGTTGAGACAACCAAAAATTTCTGCAGACATTGTAATTCTAAGGGACAGAATTGCTCCTGATTAATTCTGTATTATGGTACCTCACCTCTAAATTCTAACCCAAAACTATTTATCCAGTTGAAATAAACAGCTTATATAGAGCACACAATTGACTGAGCAATTACTGTAAAAGAAATGGAACATAAACAAGAGACAGTCTACATATTATAGGTTGGCAAATAAAGTGATCTCATGTAAGGACTCTGATCATTGTGATGAGTGAGGAAACAAGAAAAAAGTAGGAACAGAACTTGGTATAAATGGAAAGGTACCAATGGCAAAAATGAACTGATTCTATATGTGACATTATAACTGAGAGAGAAAGATTACAAGCAGGTAACCAGACAAATTGGGAAGAACATAAATCTCTACAAGTGAATTGCAGTATAAATGGGTCATAAACCTGACAGTTCTCAGAATTTTAAGCTGGAGCAGTACAGAGAATCAAGGGACCAAGAAAATAATAGGGTCATGGACATGAGACAATATTACAAACACTAAAACTAAGACAGAAACCACTACAAAAAGGAAGTCTGTTATATGTTACACATAGAGTAGTGATCATGGAAGGTCATTTTCTACCTTCACCTTCCATTAGAGTCAATGCATAGGAGATATAATGTACAGTCTTATGTGATAAGAGTTACAAATATAATAATATGAAACATTACTAGGTAAAAATATTTTAAAGTCTTCTATACTAAATTAGAAAAATTAAATTCATTAAGATTATATAATTTTAAAAACCTGAAAGTATGACTTGAAACTTTATGTATAGTACCTCATAACCTTCATGGCAAACAGAAATAGTCTCCATCTAGGTAAGTATTTTATGAGCTACACTATTGGCTATATTATCATTTATTCTTATAATGACTTAATGTATGTTGTATTATTTAAGTGCTATTAAGTTCTAATGCTACTGCTATGCTAAAAAGTACATCTGAATATAAATAACTTTGGAAAGAAGTTAAATGTGATAGATTCCCTGAAGAAAGCAGAACAGTGAGTCCCTCATGTCAATTCAGGAATGATCACTATGAGGGAAAAGCAACAACTCTAAAGCAAAGAATATGCTTCAGTGGTTATAGATTTACATAGGCTGGAAACATATTCTCCTTACTTTACCTTTATTTCCATAGGAAAATTTCCTTAGAATTATAAACATTTTTATTTATTCAAGTTCTTCAAGAATATGTTCTCATAAAATTAATAATGGTTTAAAATTGACCTTAAAATTAATAATGAATTATTAATATGTTGGCAGTGGGAAATAAACCACATGAAATTGAAAAATTGACAGTTATTGTTAATTCCTAAAGAACAAAATAGTAGGTTCTGTGAGAGAGACGATCAGAGGAAACATAAAAAATTTAAATTTGAAGACTCACAAAGATTTTTCTGAGAAAGCAATACTTATGCTGAGACTAATGAATAAGTAGAAGTTTGCCAGTCAGAAGCATGAAGACAAAGGCAATGAAACCAATGCCTGGAGAAGGAAAAAGCTTGCTGTGCTTAAGCATCTGAATGCCTAGCTGAGGGGTGAGGCAGTAGAAAGGCCAGATGGTACAGGGCTTTGTAGGTTGCCAAGTATAGAGAGCAATGTTCAAGAACCAGGAGGAAGAAGACTGTGGGTTCGAATTCTGGATCTGATGGAGGGATGGGATTAATAAAATTACTTGCCTTTCTTTATTTCAATTTTTTCATCAATAAAAAGAAATATTGTCAGGCCTTCTCGAGAAGGTGGTTATCATATTTAGTGAGTTAAATATGTAATTTGTTATTTTTTAAGATTTTTTTTCTGAGTGCTATGAGATGCTATTGCAGATACTAAGTGACATTATTTATATTATCTTTTTGAAAAGGTAACTCCAGGAATTGCCCTTGTTTAAGAAAGGCTAAGTGAACATTAGAAGATTTCCAGTGCATTTTGAATAATGAATAGCTTTTTGAGCTTCAGAATGAAGGATCCAATCACATGTCCTCCTGATCATCATTCCAATTTTATATATAGTAACTAATTGACCAGTCTCTATTGTTACAGACTACTTTGAATCCTGAAATGAATTCTTTTGATATGTTCACTGACCTTGTTTCATGCCCATTTTATTCTGTATGGTACCTACTACAAAGTAAGAACACCATAAAGGCCTACTTACAGGTAACTTAAAAAGAAGAAATTTATAATCACTTTAGTCTGAACAGTTTTAAATAAAGTATCAGACTAGATATTAAGTCAGTGCTAAAGATCACTTTTTGCAGCTTTAAAAATTATATTACTTTCTTTCACATTATCAACCTATGTTATATAGTTAGGTTGTTGTACTTCAAGTCTCCAATCAACATTTCTTTTGTATGCATATACTGAAATGATTTTATTTAATAAAAAGAAGAACTCCTATGTGGATTTTAAATTTCCCTTATTAAATATTTATATTTTCAAAATGTCTTTATTTAATTGAGTGAGGTGCTTGGTGCCATTTCAAAATAACCTCAGGTGGTAGGTGTAATGACATATCAAAGATTTGACCTTTAGCATTTTAGGATTCTATTTGTCTGCATTTTTTCCTCTGCATTCATTTGGTCTTAATTTATATGCTATTTCTTTGTATGACATAATGAGTGGATATATTTTGCCTAAGATTCTTTGACCACAGAAATATATATATGAATACATATCATTTCTGTGCAATTTAACAAGTGATTTTAATTTCATGTATTGCTCAACTGTGACAAGTAGAAGATTCTGTGTATAAGGCTGACCAGTATTTGCACAAACCTCATTCATTCTCATTAAGTGCTTAGCAGATAGATCCTGGATCTCCTAAACTGATGCCCATTCTCTTACTTCTTTGCAGTCAGCTTATTATATTCTTTTATTTACCTTGAGATACTTTATTTTCCAATTCTCTGCTATTCCTTTTAAAGAAAATGGTTGTAATATTTACACTCGTATAATTAAATTAACATCTTTCTATCTGCTTTGGTAGCATAGATAATCATTCATCTGGGTAGCTTTCATCATAGAAGCAGTGTTATGGCATATAGTCATCAATTATAATATTGTGATAGAAAAATTATTCTCATATAGCCATTAAAGTATTTCTATATCAACTTCTGAAGTGGAAATTTCTATTAATTAGATCATTGATCAGTCAGTCTATATTATTTATATTTACATTATTTTTATATTTTTTCAGTTTACACAAATCATTATCTCAAGAAGAAAACCTGAAGGATCAGTTCAACCATACACTTAGTACCTATGAAGAAGCTTTAAAAAACAGAGAGAGCATTGTTTCCATCACTCAACAGCAGAATGAAGAACTGGCTACCCAACTGCAGCAAGCTCAGACAGAGCAAGCAAACATGGAATTGAAGCTTCAGCGTGCTGTGGAAGACTCCCAAGTGGCCAATGAAAAAGTTCAGAAGTAAGTAAAATGATCTTGCATTAATTTTTAAAACATAAAAACATAACAAAATAAAAAACACTGTCTCTGGAGGAACTGAGCAATATGTATTTTATTGTTCAATCATGTATAATAGTTTAAGACAAAAGTAGACTGACCCAAATGAACTTTTTTAGATTGCATGTCATATCCATGTTTAGAGCCAAAAAATCATTTTCTTGGAAATTGTTTTTATTTAGGTCAAACTACTTGTATTTGATAACTGATCTTTATCAGTTCATGGAGGCCATACTATTTAAATCACTCCACACTTCCACATTAATAAACAAAGCTATCTGCAAGAGGAAGAGGCAGTCTAGTTGCCACCTGGACTCACTGAGCTTCACTAGACTCCTGCTGAAGTTGAGATCATCTGTGACCTTGCAGTCTGAGACCTCTAGATGCACAGCATCCAGTATAGTGAAATTAATTTTCTGTGGTGTTCTTCTGAAGTAGTCAGTGCAGCTTTTCACAGCGCATAATTATATTTGTTTATTTTGAATTTTTATTTGCATTTTTATTAAATTAAATAAAGCTGCATAATCAGTCCTTATAACAGCTAGCAGAATGTTAACAACTTACCAGGCAAAGAAGTCACTTGTTATTTTATGGAACTTGAACATAATGGCAAAATTTTCTGAGGAAACTTTTGTGTAATAAAACTAGTCATTTTAACCTGGAGTATGTATTGTTAACAATATTACATCATTCACATCCCTAATTCCCTTCAGCTTCCAACACAAACCTTTTTCCTTGAACTTTTTATGGTTTTACAGTACGAAGTAGTACTTACTTCAAGGTCGTTTACTTTTTACTACTTCTTATTTGAAAATCAGTCATCTCAACCATTTCCCTAACATCTCTGATGTTTTATTCAAATTAATAGTCCAAAGTAAAGTGAATCTGTACTCAAAACCATTTTAGAAACAGTTTAGGAATTGCACATATTAATCTTCACTGCCAATGTAACTTGAAACTTTTCATTTATGTAAGATTTTCTAGATTTAAAGATTAGCTTTATATTCAGTCTGCAACTGTATCTAGTTATTCACCAGGTACATTGATGGTGTGTTCTTAGAACACATAGGTGGTTCTCATTTCATTGTAAATCACAGTAACTTTTGACAGTCAGGATATGACTTCCCTGTGTTTCCTCCAACTCTACAAACAATTTAAAAATTCAAAGTCTTCTTTACACACAATCCTTTCATTTCTATAAATGACTATAATTCCCTAAAGCAGTGTTCCTAGGGAATTACATTTTCAAAACAATTTTTGGAAATGTTGCCAACTTTTTCTTTTTTCTTTTTAGACTCATCAATTAGCATTACCACTTTGTAAAATAACTTTTGTACCCAAAGAAGTAGAAATACCATCATCTTAAATACTGCTTTAAATTGAGTAATTTATGTTCTTGCACAAACAATCCTTATTTTGCACAGCAAACCACAGACACATCAAACTTTTTTTTATGTTTACTTTTTTACTAATTTTTTTTGTTTATTTATTCACACGTGCATACATTGTTTGTAAACTTTTTAATGATTTATAGATCAGCATTTAAGCATAACATCTGGCATTAACAAAAGTTAAATGTTAAATTTCATAGTTAAATATTTTGTTCTGATTATCAAAATGACCTCAATAAAATGTTTCAGGCTTTCCTTTTCGTATTCAGTTCACTGTTCATTTTTAGTTGCAATCAGTTAGGTAAATTGCATCTTCATTGCAATTAATGTGGACATCAGTCTGTTTTAATGGGTTCAAGAAGAAGGTTATCCCCTGAAAAGAAACCAACTAATAGCACTTTGTAAGATGGTATTATTATTGTCTAAACAATCTGAAATTACTATTTTTAGAAAACATTTTGGAAAGTCCTTTGAAAATATATCAGTACTCCAAGCAATTTAAAATGTAAAAAGGTTCACATTTCTTCTCTTCCCTTCACAACCAAATTTATTGAATCTATAATCACTATCTCTAATTTTTTAGTCTCTATTTCTGCCACTATGGTTAACTCTTATGCTGAAATTGTTCTTTTTAAGATTACAGGTAATTCCCTAACTCCTGAATCCATGTCCTCTTTAACCATATTTTTATTATACAAGTAATATTTAATCACAATGAAAATAAAGATGCTCATAAATCTTCAGCAATATAACATAGTGGTTTAAAAGCTCATGTTTGGGATTCAAAATGTGTAGGTGTAACATTTTATTTTAAAACACTGTGCTAATGTAGACAATGCTATGCCTTCCTCAATGTTGTTCTAACAACTAGATGAAATAATACATGCAATGAATTTAGAACAATGCATGCATGTTCCCTCCTCCTCTTGTCATCTCCCTGTATACTGCACTGCCTCATTCCTCAGAAGGACTGCCTTTTCAAGACTAAATGCTTTTGTAAATGTTGAACCCTTGGCTTGGAGCCTTTTGCTCTTTCTTCCCCATGAGAACTTTATTCATCCTATGAGAGTCAGTACAGCATAGAGGATAGAAAAACAGGCTAGTAGTCAAGCCAAAGTGTCCTGAATTTGAAGTCCTGCTTTCCTTCTTATTACTTGTGAGATTTGGGGGCCAGTTACTTACCCCCTATAGGGAGAAGCTTCTCAAGTAAGCTCAGACGGTAATACTGGTTTCACAGGCAGGGGTCTTATGAGGTCTTTATAGTATGTAAAATACCTAGTATAGTGCCAGTTACTATTACAAACATTCTAAAAGTTCTAGTATTAGCATAATCATAATCATCAATATAGCAAGAACACTTTAATTGCTTCTTCTCTACAAAGTCACCTCTAACTTTCTAGAAAGTAAAATCACTTTTATGTGTTGTCATAGTATGGGGGAGGGAAGGATATGTATTATTAGACGTTTTTTCAGTCAACAGTATGCTCACTTAGTTCAATCTTACAGCCTTTTGCCATGCCGGAATATAGTCATTTTTATTTGCGTGTTTGTGTGTCTTTCCTACTACACTGTGAGTTCCTTGAAAGTAGGAAATATGTTGTAAAACTTTACATGGTATATCTTACCTATTGAGTGTTTAATGAACATTCTTTTTTCAAAATAAGGAAGGAGACAGAGAGCTTACATTATAAACTCTAGGAAATACATAGATGTTAAGACATAAGAATATGGTTACATATTGTTTTAGAACTGATTAAGGTTGATAAGCACTACAATGATAAATGCAGTCAACTTTTAGAATATTTGAACTCTATCATTTAATACCATACACTCTTCCTTCTTGGCATCTTTTCTTGGGTTCTAAAGCACCATTTTCTTTTCCTTCTACTGCTTGTTCTGCCTATTTCTACCCTGTTGCCATCAATGAATATGACTGTAATCTATCTCTAAATAATGATTTCTCTAAAGATTACCTCTATATAATTCCCAGAAATATCATCCATTTCCATAAGCTTCAATCACTACCAATTGGCCAAATAACTTTTTATAGCTTTATCTTAATATTCAACTCTCTCCTGAGATCCAGTCTCATTCTCAAAACTGTTTTTCCCTCCCCTGAGACTGAAGTCCTCCCCATTCTCCTCTATTTTCTGTCTCAATTTATGAACTTGAGCAATTTCATCACTGTGCCTGTTCTTTTACGTTTTATCTTTCACATTGTCTTTGGCACCAGTTTCTGTTGTCTACTGCCTACATGTCACCTGACTCCCTCCTTCCCATTCTCATTAATTAATTGATTACTTTAGCTCATCATTCTCATCTAGACTATCACAATGATCATAAAACTAGTCTTACCAACCTTTAGTTCTCTTAAGTTTATCTTCCATACTGCCACTAGAGTTGATTTTTCTAAAACACAAATCAGATCATATTATTTTCCTGTTTTAAATTACTCAGGGGTTCTTCATCCCCTACAAATCAAAGTATAAATAATTTAACATGACATGAGGGCTATCACTGGCCTTATCCCATTATTCTAGCATCCCATGACCCTACTACACATTTTTCCCAGCTATTCCAGTCATTTAGTCTGTGGTACAAAACTTTTGTTACCCCCTAAATTCCAGCCCAAACATTACCATATAATGAAGCTTTATCTGGCTTCTTCCAGTTAATTGTCTTTTTTAATTTTCTTTTTCATTATTGTTTTCAGAGTATTTAATCCATACCTTTATTAGAGCCTTTAATCATGTAGGTGTTGTAACTATTTTGTAGGTTATTTTTTATCTACTCTACTCAATGCCCAAATTTCCCAAGACACTGACAATATTTTACTCATATTCATATCCCCATCTCCTCCCAAAACATTCCACAGTGCCTGCTGTTACATAGGTAATCCATAAATGCTTATGAACAAATGAATTTTAAATTTTTCATATGTTGATTATAATAATGGAATAAAGGCTCATCAGGTTGGAAATATACAGGAAAGGTTCAGGTGTACTCTAATCTGTGTTAGACCATAGATAAAAACCTTTTCTTCTAATCCAGTACCCAAAGCTTACCATTTTTATATAAAAGGATGGTACTATGGTTGGTCCTGCCCACCTCCTCTAACTGGCACCACCACATCTTCTTGTTTTCTAGAAAACTGGAATTTCATGACCAGATTTTAACCCTTATTCCAACCACCCAGTTCTATAAAGTTTAATTATATTTAAGACCTGGTATCTTCAGTAATAGTGGAGAGAGAGCATATACTATTGCTATTTGTAAAATCTAAAAGTTATATTTTATTTTCATTCAGTCATAAAAATGTTTAATTTTTTTGAAATTTTTTTAACATATAAGAGTATTTCTGGAAAGAAAAGTTGTACAGAATTACCATCCACTAGCTGGTCTACAAATATTTATTGAATAAAACTCAATGAATGCTATTCAATTTATGTCACCTGTCATAAAACCTAAAACCTCACCAGTGAAAATCCAGTCCTTTGGGTTAAGCACTGTGTACTTGTAGTAACTTCTATTAAATTTATATAGTTAAAGTTTAAAATGTTTTGGGAAGGAGAA